GCGCCGCAGCGGGGATGGCGCGCGGCGCCGCGCAGGCACAGGGGGCGGCGCAGCCGCTGGCGCAGCGGCCGCAGTCGCATGCGCACGCCGCAGCCGCCGGGGCCGCCGCAGCTGCGCATACGCAGCGGCCGACGCAGCCGCGCGCACAGCGCGAGGTGGCCGAGGTCATGGTAGGTGCGGCGCACATGCAGCGGCCAACGCAGCCGCGTGTGCAGCTGCCGGTGGTAGCGGAGAAACCGACGGGGCCGGCGCACGCGCACGCAGCGCCGCACGCGCCGCGGGTGCAGCGGGAGCAGGCGCAGTTGGCGGCGCACGCGCCGGCACTGCGGGCGGCGCCAATGGTCGAGAGCGCCGCAGAAGTGGCGTTGGAGGGGCGGCGCCGCGCGGGCGCGACGACAACACACGCCGCGGCAGACCGCGGCACGTATGCTGCCGACATTGCAGCAGCGGAGTGCGACTGAATAATCATGTCTTTCGAGTGCCTGTACGGGCGTTCACGGCAAGAGAGCCTTGATTGCCGAGTGGTAGAGTGTCGGTGTTGGGTTGGTGGTGTTTGGACCGGAGAGGTGTACAAAGCGAAACGCTAGATGGATAGATATAGATTTTTGGATATTGGTTTTCTGGGTGTAGTCGGTGGTGGCAAAATTCGGCCCACCCATCGAGGAGGGGCCGCACACACGTTCAAAACACCCACACCCACCACACCCGGCCATCGGTGGCGCAGCACACATTGGCTTTGCACACACGCTGAATCCATTTTATGCATCTTAACCCCTTCAACAGTCATATAGAAGTATACCTCAACTACCTTGGAGTCGTAGTCGGCCGTCACCGTCTCACCGGGGATCAAAGGAACAGGTGTGCGGCAAGCAGCGGAGTGCACAAAGCGAGTGGGGTATCCCTGCCCGTACCCGTTCCACCGGGACTCGTATCACAAAATCACCTGAGCGCGACGGCGAGTCGATCAGAGCGGCACAAGGGGCTTGAGCTCGGGTTACAGAAAAAAGCGGCAAAGGGCGCAGGTGCACGGTGTGTGCTCGTGCTTCAACAGTCATAGTATGCATCACAGGCTGCCAGTCCCAGCGTGTGGTCTGCTTGCAGTCGCCCCAGCTCGACAGGCGTCCCCGCGCCCTGCCCCCTCGACGGATTCCCCCGCCTCCCCTAGCCGCGCCGTCAGCCGCCTGCCCCACCCGCCGAGGCCGAACCCCATAACCACCAGCGCTGTTCAGGATGCGCAACCCACAGCGCCTGGTTTTTGCATGCCGCTTGCGCCCCATGAGCGCCGGGCCCACAACCCAGCTGACGCGACGGGTGCACCTCAATTCAGGCACAGCGGCCGCTTTGCTACACCGTTCCTACCGTGAAGGCTCTGTGTGGGAGGGGCCCCTGCACTATCAGATGTGTAACAGCAGGTGGGGCCAAGCCAGCTGCTAGCTGCTGGGCTTTTCAATGTGAGTACTGCGGGCTCAGTTTGACTGGGTCAACGAAATCCAATTCACGCTGCAGTCTTGTCCACCACCTCGTACAGGTCCGCCCTCCGCTGCTGCGCCAGCGGCATATTGGTGCGCCGCTCCACCACCTGGCGGCCGGGGAATGGCGTGGGGGGCGCGGCGAGGCGTGCGCACGGAATCAGACGCCCGGCCGGGGCTTGTGCTCGTGCATGCGTTCCGCGTCGCCTCATGCGGGGGGACGCAAGGCGCTAAACGTGCCGTCATCTCAACGGATTGCTCGGATCTCAAAGATGCAGGCCGAACAGCGGTCAGCCCCTCATCATCGCGATCAACCGGCTGCGGCAGGCGGCGCAAAGCACACGCGGCGCGGCAGGGGTCCAAGCGAGGGAATCGGGTTCAAATCTACCGCAGCGCTGGCTGGGGCGCGCACCTGGCCGTAATCCAGCTCAGCGAATATGGTTGTTGGCTCGTGGTCGCAGGTGGCCAGGATCTCGGCAAACGGCCCGACAACAGTGGAGTGGCCCCACGCCTGGAGAGCCGGGGCGGTCGATAAGTTGGCACACGCCCGTCGCGAGTGAATTGTTACGAGCGTGCGTGCGTCTGTGCATATGTGTCTGGTTGTGTGTGATTGTGTGGTGAGGGGCAGTCATGGCTTGACAGCGTGTTCCACGGGCGTGTAACGACCGCTCTATCCGGGTCACTGCCAAGCTTCCCATCCAAAACAGGCAGCTGACTCCCATACTGCTCGTGCGCGTGTAACCGCCGATCCGCACGCACAACCCGCGCCAACTGGGCTGTCCCACGCACACACTCGCGCATACGCGATCGGCGCCGCCCGTCCGCCCTGGCCGGCCCCGTACCTGATAGGACGCGTCCGGGTTTCGCGCGGGGGAGCAGGTGGCGACAAACAGCTGGTTGTCCACCGCCCGCGCCTTGGCCAGGAGCTCCCAGTGCACGGGGCCAGTCACGGTGTTGAAGGCGCCTGCGGCGGGACATCCCGATTCGCGGCGGAGGTCGCGGGGGCGCAGAGGTGGGCTTTTTGGGAAGAGCAGCGCGGCCCTGAGGTGTGAGGACGCTGGGGGGGCAGGCGAGGTGTCATTGGCGCAGGTCCCCCCCTGCACCAATGGCTCCAGGGGAGGCAGCTGCAGTGCTACCCTCAAAAATCATCAATCCTCGCATCCCATACGCGGACGCACACACATATGCACGCACGCAGATGTGATCGCACAACCCACAGACCTACCCGGGTACACAATCAGCTGCACCCCTCTCCGCGCGTACAGCATCGCCAGCTCGGGGAACCTGGGCGCGTGCGTCAACAGGGGCGCGGGCCGGAAGAAGCGATACGATTCGCGTCTGACGGTCGTCACATTGAGGGTTCAAGGGCAGGGGCATGGGCGGCTGTCCTGTGAACAGGCCGACCCAGAACCGCCGCGTGCCAGCCATGGCTGGCGTGGTCGACGAGCAATTGGATGCGCCTTACCCCAGCCTCCCTGGACCCCCAAACTGGAAGCAGCAGGAGCAGACAAAGCAGGTGGCGCAAGGGCGGCCAACAAGTACTGGCCCTGCCCCCATTCACGGGACGTGGCGACGTGTCACACGCACACACACACAGACACACGCACACACACACACACACGCGCGCGCGCGCACACCCACACACACACACACACACACAAA